CATTACTTTTTCTAAAATTTAGTTTTGTATATATACAGAGAGAGAGTGTGAATGGGGGAGTAGGGCAGAGGATGGGAGAGAGAGAGAAAATCTTAAGCAGGCTCCATATGGGGCTTGAACCCATGACCCTGGGATCATGACCTGAGCTGAAATCAAGAGTCAGTTGCTTAACCCACTGAGCCACGCAGGTGTCTCAGAAGCCATTACTTTTTAAAGTTTTCACCAGTTAAATGTGTTTCACTGGGGAACGAGTCTGCCACACTGCTCATACAGCCATTCTCAAAGTCCCACCTCAGTATTTGATATATTTTACCTGAGCATTTCATCTTATATGTTACAGCAATTATTTTAAGACTTTATATGACACACACAAAAAAAGAAAATTTAGATGAAAGTAAAGAGGCGAGATTTGAAATACATGAGGAGAGGACATCAAACTGATATGATGCTGTTAGTACAACTGAATACTAGTCTCACCACCCTGAGCTTCTTAGCGTTCTAAGGTTGTTGTTAATACTTATCATTGATTCGATGGCAAGAATGTATCAGGTGATTTTCATACATTAGGTTTTACTTATTTTTTTTTTATTTTTTTTTAAATTATTTTTTTTTAACATTTATTTATTTTTGAGACAGAGAGAGACAGAGCATGAACGGGGGAGGAGCAGAGAGAGAGGGAGACACAGAATCAGAAGCAGGCTCCAGGCTCTGAGCCATCAGCCCAGAGCCCGACGTGGGGCTCGAACTCACGGACCGCAAGATCGTGACCTGAGCCGAAGTCGGACGCTTAACCGACTGAGCCACCCAGGCGCCCCTATACATTAGGTTTTAAACATGCATATGAGGTCTACCATGGTAAGTGGTATAATTTTTGACTTATGAGAAAATGGATCCTCAAGTTCACAGAGAGAGAAAGCAGAGAAGAGGGACTGATTAGAATTCAGGTCTGTTTGGGTGTAAGTCTGTATTTTTTATGCTCTCTAAAAAAAGAAACGTTTAAATTCACCTGGATGACTAGTCTTCAGAAATTAAATTCTATGAGAATTACAGTAATATTAAGTAGGCACCACTGATGAAACATTTGATATGAATTTTTCTTTCCTTCTTTTCTTTCTTTCTTCCTCCCTTCCTCTTTCTCTCTCTTTCTGCAATTTGTTCTCTGTCTTTCACCTGCTAATTTGTTGAAGGTATATCACAATTTACTTCCACAATTTGTTAACTTTTCAGTTGGTTTTGAGTAGTTTGCTGGATTTCTTAATCCAGGAGAATTTGTTGATTTATCAATGTAATTATTAGCCATGGATACTCACTACGCAGTGACTATATCCAATGCAAAATATGTGAGTTGTTTCTAAAACACATATATTTATTTTGACTCAGTAAGTACTGTTCAGCACATTTCTGTTTTCAGCTTAGCACTGTTTGATTCTGAAACATTAATATTTTTTTTCTAAATATTCTGAAATGGCGAATTGAGTTGGAAATTCAGATAAGGACAACTGTCTATTCTGCGTTAGGCTGTTGGTAAGATTTCAAAGAGTACTGAAATAGCACACCAAAATGAGGTGACTTTACATCATACCACATATCAGACACTTTCTATAATAAACTGAGAAAAACCCATGTGTCAATTTCAGATATATACAATAACAGTTTTGCCTCCATACACCCGCGACAGAAAAGTTATTCTTGCTCCGATTGATTAGGTTCTGAATCAACATGATTTTCTCAGTTTCATGGCATTGTGATATAAAACAGGCTACATGATTAAAAGGACTGACCTACCAGATTACTATGAAGCAACGGAAAGAGAAAATCATACGATTTAGCTGCCGACTGAATAGATATTTGGATAGTTTCTCAGCTACGTTACGTAACGGAAGCACATCTGTCCTACTGGGACGGGTATGTGCACGCTGTCACTGCATCGATGTGTCACACGGGCACACGAGCCATGTCGCTCTCCGTTTAGTGTTTTTGTTTAGGTTACCTTCCAGAAGATCATCCTCATCGATGCCCTTGACAATCTTGGATTTGTAGTCTCGGAAAAACATGTACTTTAGCAGTCTTCTCAGTTTTTTCTATTAAAAATATGAAATGAGTAAGAAACCTTACACATACATTCAGTTTACAGGTAACAGACCACTACGATAACTAAATCTAATAAACTTGTGTCCAGGATCATTGGGGAAAACACAGCAGTCCTCAGCATACTACTGTGAAATAAAAGGTGTCATCATATTAAATATAAAAGCTAAAACAGCTCAAACACAAGTGTTTTTAAAAGTACTCTTTATTTGCAAGTATCTAAATGCTCTAGAATTGCAATCATTGGGGTTTTTGGTTTTGGTTTTTTTTTTTTTTTTTTTTTTTTTTTTTTTTTTTTTTTTGGTCTTATAAAAAGTTTCAAATTCTTCCTGAAGACTGTGATAAATATCACATGCTCCATATTAAGCTAACTATTCTGACTTGACGAAATTTTGTACACATTGAAGACCAAATTTTATTTTTTGAAGTGATTTATAAACATCTAGACAAGGATTTTGTAACAGTTGCTTTAAAATGCCAAGCAACGTTCCTTTTTATTGCTTTCTCTTCTCTGGAGATCTTTTTGTTTTTGTTGTTTTTTTTTTTTTTTAACTGAGAAGAGTTGGTTTATGTTTTATATTTCTGGACGACTTCCTATAATCTGAGAAACATATTTTAACGAGACTTGAAGCTGACGAATGATAGTTGCGTCTTGATGGTTTTCTTTAGGTTTATTAAAAGACCGTAATACTGCTTCCCTTTAAAAGTAACTGATAATACTTTGTAATCTGCTGTGTGCTTACCCTTAGAATTTAATATTCTAAGGGCTCCTGAACTTCAGGTTTAAGATTCCTAATTATGGCTGAACCACAGTACATTTTACACAAGCTCTTTTTACACGCATTTTATTTGATATTTGCAACAACCCTGAAACACGGACAAACGTAATCATCTCCTTTTTACATACAGGGAAACTGAACTTAAAAACAGTCTTACAACTAGAGCTTAGCAGGGCCAGAAGTAGAACGTAACCTTTGAACCTGTTCCTTTGTTTATGATTTTAAGTAAAGTACCTACCTTACAGGACCACTGTGAGGAATAAATGGCAGTATGAGTGAAGGTGCCAGGTACAATACAGTACGCAGTCAATAAATAAAGCTTGAAAATAAACCAGAATTACCAAGAGAAAAACCATGCACCTATATATGGGTCTTCTGCTACCCTTCCTTTCTCTTTGCTTCTCCGATTGTACTCAATGCTTTAGATTTAACTTCGTCTTACAGTACACCTATGTAAACTACTTTAATTCGGTCTGGAACATGTCGGCATATAAATACAATTATTATTTTGCAGAGGAAGATGAGAACTCTGGCAGCTATCATATTACAGCTATGTTTGCAGTTGGTGAAAGCTTTCTGGTTAAGAGTCCTTCTGGAAGTCGAGGAGCGTTGTCAATTAGTGTATGTTCCTGTGGTTTCAGTATGATTTTAAATTTTGACTTTCCCAAAAGGCAGGAAAGAGCGTCAAGGGGGACTGTGTTTTTTTGTGCGATCCTCTTTAACCTCTGCCACGAAAAAGGGAAAGGTGGTTGGACATAGTCTGTCACGTATTAATGCTAACTGCACTGTTCCCCCGCTGCCTTCCTGAGGGACCTTGGCTCCACACCCTCATTTCTGCCAACAGTGTCTATTCCTCCTTGGTCCTCCGAGGATAATGAAGCCGCCAAAACCGGCATATTTGTGCTCTTGCCCATCTCTCTGAATTCTTCCTTCCTACCCACTTCCGGAGCCATCATGCTCATCACATTTTGCCTTGATTATTGAACCAGCATCTTGGCCAGTTCCTTTGCGTTTGATCCATTCTGCATGCAACTGCACGAGTCCCACCCCACGCAGAGACTTCCCCTTCAGCATATCCCACAGCCTCTCATCGAAGCACACAACTTCAAAATTCTGCTCCTTCAACCAAATCACACATGTTTCCTACACCGGATTACAGCTTCTTGATAGTGGAGACATTTCTTTTCTCTTCCTTTATATTCCTCATACCATCAAAGAGTTAATGAAGTAAGAATTTATAAGATTTAATAGTAGACTGGCCAAGGTGCGGTTTCTAGATCTCTGGATCTCACTGTATGAGGAAGAGAAAAATACATGATCTAAGTTCAGTCAACCTTCAGTCAAGCAGAATTAAAAGGTTTCACAGGTATAAAGTAGTTGGATATTGGAAAGGATGGTAACAAGGTTATCCAAAAGGTTGGACGGGATGTCTTCTGATAAGAAACAGAGCCACAAGGATATCAAAAATGGTGGAAGAGGAATGGGTATGTGTACCGAAGAGGCCGGCGGAAAAACAATGGAGCGATCAGATGGACCATCAGAAACTAAACGCGGCTGGCTCATTCGAGATAGCAGCTGCCATGACACATGGTGGCTATTCAGCTAGCTTTTGTACATGTAACTTTCAGATGACACTTTTATTAAAAACATGTAAAATTTTTAAAATATTTTCAACTAGCTGCTCATGGAAGATAGTTATAGACTGGTAAATACCAGCCTAAATATTTTATTTAATACCAGGGTTCAAAGAGTAAGAAAGGTAGATCTTTAACCATGAAAGAAAAGTCTAGCCACTATTATGTTTATGCTACTGAAATACTCATCTTGATTTAGTTTTCCCCAAATGAACCTTGAAACAAACTCTGGGAAAGCCTGTAATCCTGTGTAAAATTAGAAAGAAAAAAGATGCCACTTAGTTCTACCCCACTTATTAGAACAAAGCACACAAATGATACGCAGTGAATATGATGTAGTAATGAAAATGTCTAAATATATACGTAAGCATAAGTGAGAATTCGTTGCTAGCATAGTTTTGCATAAGTGCCTGACCCACGAAAACAAATACCAAGTTTCTTGTAGTAAACCATTTTGTTGTGTAAACTACGAAGACTGAAACATCAGTTTAATAGTTGTACTCCAATGTGAAAGCTATATAACAAGGACACGGTTCCCAATATGTGTGAATTAAGCACCAAACATGGCCTGTTAATACAATGAAATTATTTTATATTACCTTATCTTTGCGCATCAAAAACAGAAGGTCTTCGGCAGAGATTACCCTGGCTCCCCGAAGCTGAGAAACTTCAGCAGCTTGCTGTAACTAACAACAAAGAAAATTGAGGATTTTTTTTCTCAATAATCTAAATTAAATATACTACGGTCATGACGTCTCAAGGGAGATAAATATACTAAGAGTTAAAAACCTTTGGGAATAATCCGGCAATCACATTACTGCTTTTAAAAGCAAAATGTCTTATGTTTTGAACTAAAAAAAACACAATTAAATTAACTTATAAGCCCACCTGTAACTGATACAATAAACAGAAATCCTTGATTTCTTTCATGCAAAAGAAAAATCATGTGCAGCTTCCAGAAATGCATTAATGCACCTGAAAATAATTTTATGAAATTTTATCCTCATATCCATGTGAGCAATGGTTTCACTCAGTATCACTAGTTGAATAAGTATATTATTAATCTGAGCTCCCATGCTGGTATGATTTGAAATAGGCCCATTCAGAACTTTAAAAGATCAACAAAAACAGTAGCTGTTTCTAATATCCAAAGGAAAAAAAATAGTTTTAGTTTTGGCAAGTCTTCAGTGGGCAAAGGATTCAGTCTATAAATCATAATACTGGACTGCATTAATTTCTTTCCACACTAATCACATGCACACAAAAAGTTAACTGTATCTGGAATGCACAACACAAAACATACTGCATGAAAAGTTAGATTCCCCCCGCAATGTTCATCTGGGCCCTTATATCTACAAAGTTGAGAGTTTTCTGGAATTCAGAAGTCCTAGAAACACAATCTTACTTGAAAATGACCTGGAAAATAAAAGAATGTGAAAAATGATAGTTCTATTTTCTGGCACAGGCAAAATCGGTTTCGTATTTTGATTAGTTGGAAGGAACATAAAATATGTCCAGATGAAAAAAATAAAGATACTGGAGAAAACACTACAAATATGTGCCTGCAACTTCTTCCAAATTTGATCAAACCGTAGTGACTGCACCACAGCATCTCTATCCAATATTATAAAAATATTTACATATAAAAGCTGTTCCTAAATGCATTCTTCTTTGAAAGGAATACATCTAACATATCCCTGAGAACTAATCTTTCAAAAGTGACACACTGTTATCTTAACAATTATAAGGAATCAAATAGTGCATTTGTACTAAAGAAATTCTGCTTGAATGTTCAAGCGATTTTGCTAAGTAAGCTTCAAACCTTGTCTAAATACACAGACTACAAAATAGACTATAAACTCCCTATGTGTCAGCCTCACCACTGAATTTCCTGGATACTGGTGGTTGGTATATAAACATAATTCTACCTAAATATAGAAATTTAAATTTAACTGTGAACCATTTAAAAAGAAATCTTAGGGGAAAGGTTTTAAAAAGATGATGTATCTACCCAGAAAGAAACTACAAGTTTTCAGCAGGAAAAATCTGAACATATTTTTCTAAAAACTGCAAGTGTGTCAGGGAGATACGTGTACACATTGTTTTTTTTTTTTTCCCAAATAAAAACATTTCTACCATAGTATAAAATACACACAATCAATGTGGAGAAGAATATGGGCTCAGTATCCATTTAAATGTCTGGACACAGAGAACATACACTGAACCAGGAGGCAGCACTGACAAGTAACTTTGTATTTTCTTAAATGAAGGATGGGGATGGTTTGACAGCTGCAAAGTACTATACAGAACAGAAGGAATTTCACTGATGTTAAGAAAGGATCAGGATAAATATATATCCCTAAACTCCCTAAAGAGTTTCCCCAATTAATTGTTTACCCACATTACATATAAATAAATAATCCGTATTTATTATCCTCTCCAAAATGTCAGTTTATTAACCAGGAAAAAAGAGACAGTGGAAAATAAAGACGTAATTGAGTTAAGACATTTTAAAACACCTTTGAAAGCCAGGACACAACTACTGTAGGGACCTCCAGGAATATACGTCATGGTACGTTGTCATAATTAGCAGGAAACCTGAACTCTATTTTTTGTCTATCAGATGCACCAATTTCCTTCACCTAAACTTGTACCTTACTAGCCCTGGCACTGCTAGAATTCTCTAGAATGCTATGGACTTTCATGAAGTGATTCCTTGAGACCAGAAGTTACTGCTGTGTTACTTCACTAAGCCTGTCTGTCCTGATGTGCCCCATGATCCAAAATTACCTCTCCCAAACTCTGACCTCTTCTCTACCAAGTGAGGAGAGCTATCGCATTAGCTAATTACGGAGATCACACTAAAGTGTGGATTACCCATTGGCTTCCTTCTAGAAATTTTTGTTCATGCCTATCAGAAAGAGTAAAGAAACTCTTCTTTAACAATGTAAAGCTTAAGGGGTGCCTGGGTGGCTTAGTCTGTTTTAAGAGTCCTGCTTCAGCTCAGGTCACGATCACACGCTTCATGGGTTCTAGCCCCGTGTCAGGTTCTGTGCTGACAGCTCAGAGCCTGGAGCCTGCTTCAGATTCTGTGTCTCCCTCCCTCTCTGCCCCTCCTCTGCTTGTGCTCAGTCTCTCTCTCTCAAAAATAAACATTTTAAAAACAAAAAACAAAAACAATATAAAGCTTAAAAAACAGGATAGCAGCTGGCCAGGCCAGTTTCATAGAATGCTGAGCTCAGAATTGGTACATTTAATGTGAAAGCCCTTCACTGAGCCAGGAAACCAAAATAAAAAAAATAATCCTAATAACTTCAGTGTTACAAAAATTGACTCTACATTCTAAGAAATCTCAGTTTCTTAATCTGTGAAACTATATCAAAGTTGTACGTCATTATTTACTGTTGCATGTTAAATATTTCTGGCAGTAATTTGAATCACTTGAATAGTACACTTCACACTTTTTTATTATAATGAAAGTAGTATACATTTAATTGTGATATAAACTATGCAAGAAATAACAGAGAAGATAAGTAGTTTAAGACCACTCACTGGTAGAATGAGTATACAACTTAATCTTCTTAACCATATGGATAAAGGTATGGTTATACTAACCATAAGAGATTTATTTGGAACTTAATAAAATATTGTGCTACAAGACATTATTATTTTGGCACAAGAACAACTCATTTACAGCACTTTTTTTTTCCTGATAAATATTATTTGTTCTTCAAGGTAAACTAAAAATATTATTATACTTGTAAGGACTGTTTAAAAGACCAAACTTCCTTTTGCATATGAACACTCATCATGCTTGACACTTTCTTTGTTAAACTTTACATTTCATCTTAAATGCCTCATCTTTGATCCCTCGAACAAATCTCTTCTCAATTTCTCATTGCAGTCAATGACACTAACATTCAGACTCACTGTATTTTTCTTCCTCTGCTACATTTTCACTAACCTCCGTCGATTTTGTTTTGTTTTAATCTGCTCAGGTTCTCCAATCTGCTCTCTACTGCCACAGTACTTGTCCTAATCCAGGAAATTGCAACATCTCCAAATTGTGATGCAATCTAGATTTAAGTGCTAAAATGATCTTGCTCAAATATGATGTCCATAATTCTCGTTCTAGGATCTATGAGACTTCACTATTATCTAACTTTAATGTGTCTTTACAGCCTGACTCACAGATTTCTCTATACATTCATTCCCATCATATTTCTTGTGGGTTTTTTTTTTTAATATTACTCTACATTTAAATTCCAGTAATTTCAATTCTATTTTCACACTTTTGTGCATCTATAATTGTTGATTTTACGTGTCAACTTGTTTGGGCCACAAGGTGATCAGACCTTCGGTCAAAGATTATTCTGGGTGTGGCTGTAAGGGTATTTCTGGATGAAATTAACATGAGAATAGATAAAATAAGTAGACTGCCCTCCCTAATGTGGGAGGACCTCAATCAATCAGCTGAAGAACTAAACAGAAAGTGATCACCTTGGGGCCCCTGGGTGGGTCAGCTGGTTAAACTTCACGCTCAAGTCATGATTTTGGCTCAGGTCATGATCTCATGGTACATGAGTTGGAGCCCCGTGTGAGGCTCTGAGCTGACAGCATGGAGCCTGCTTGGGATTCTCTCTCTCCCTGTCTCTCTGCCCCTCCCCCGTACTCTATCTCTCTCTTTCTCAAAATAAATAAACTTAAAAAAAAAAAAAGAACATGATCACCTCACACCTGTTAGAATGGTTAAAGTCAACAACACAAGAAACAAAAGGTGTTGGCCAGAATGTGGGGAAAGGGGAACCCTCTTAACACCATTGGTGGGAATGCAAACTGGTGCAACCACTTTGGAACGGAGGTTCCTCCCGTATGGAGGTTTCTCAGAAAGTTAAAAAAAGAACCACTCTATGACCCAGCAATTGCACTAGTATTGACCCAAATAATCCAAAAATACTATTTCAAAGAGATCCATGCACCCTGATGTTTAAAACAGCATTATCTACAATAGCCAAATTATGGAAACAGTGCAAGTGTCCATCAACTGATGAGTGGATAAAGAACATGTGGTATACATAAACAATGGAATATTACTCAGCCATCAAAAAGAATGAAATCTTGCCAACTGCAATGACATGGATGGTGCTAAAGAGTATTATGCTAAGCAAAATAAGTCAGAGAAAGACAAATACCATATGATTTCACTTGTATGCAGAACTTTAAGAAACAAAACAAATAAGCAAAAGGGAAAAAAAAAGAGAGAGAGGCAAACCAAGAGACAGACTCTTAACTATAGAGAACAACTGATGGTTACCAGAGGGGAGGTGGGTGGAGGGATGGGAGAAGTAGGTGATGGGTATTTAGGAGTGTACTTGCTGTGATGAGCACTGGGTGATACGGAATTGTTCAATCACCATTTTGTACACATGAGATTAATTATTACACTGTATGTTAACTAACTAACTGTAATTTAAGCAAAAACTTAAAAAAAAGAACATAAAGACCAAAGAAAGGGAATGGAACACCTTCTGCCTACCTTGAAATGAGACACTGGTCTTTTTGAGCCTTCTGACTCAGACTAAAACATCCCGTTTCTCAGGCCTTTGGATTCAGGCTGGAAATGCATCTCACCTCTCCTGGGTCTCCAACTTGCCAACCACAGCACTTGGGACTTTTCAGTCTACAT